TCATTAAACATAGCACTCTTCATTTAGCTCAGCTATAATGTGTTTTTTCTTGGACAAAGTCATTATTTGTTCTCTAAAACACTGGTCGACAATAACAAAATCAATACAAATTCAAAATAAATATTTGTTTACGTTATTAACGCATGCGCAATGAGAGATAATGTCTGCGTTGGACCGACTGCTCACGCTGAGTTAACAAAAAAGTATTTTTTTTGGCGTCAGCTCTACGTCAACTTTCCGCTGACGCCCAGATAAGGCGCTTGTCCTAAGAAACCAGACCTTTAGTCATTGCATGGAAGGAATGAGATCAACGGGAAAGAATGAAATGATTAATATATCACAGATTTCCATAAAATAGAGACCGGAGAAGTATGAAATAATAATTATTTCATTATCATATTACGTAATTAATATTTTATAAATTGATGAAATTTCATCATACATACATTCAGAATGGAAACCGGCAAAGTATGAACTAATTAATATTTCATATATTGTTGGGTTTTATTGAATTGATAAGAAGCAAAGAATGAAACAATTATATTTCGCACATAGCTATTGCATTATACAGAATGAAGACCGGTAAAGTACGAAATAATTTATATTTCATTATCATATTACGTAATTAATATTTTATAAATTGATGAAATTTCATACATTTCATCATACATACATTCAGAATAGAAACCGGCAAAGTATGAACGAATTAATATTTCATATATTGTTGTATTTTATTGAATTGATAAGAAGCAAAGTATGAAACAATTATTATTTCGCCCACAGCTATTGAATTATACAGAATGAAGACCGGTAAAGTACGACATAATTAATATTTCACACATTACCAAAGTATTCTATAAAATGACCAATGAAAACAATATGGGTACTCTAGACAATTAGGCAAAGTATAAAATTATTAACATATGTCCTAATTCGCCTAAAGAACATCCGCCATTCTACATAACCATTCAATAACTGAGCAATATTTCATACATTATTCGTTGTTGTTGTTTCTAATACCACTTGCCACACGGGCAAGCCTGCTTGGTGAAACTGAGCAAATTTAAGGCAGAGTGTGCGTTTCTTGTTTTTCAGTGGGGCCATCTATGGCCAAAGATTCGACTTCAGTCACACCATACGTCGCACCCGTTTATAGGGCGGGCGGACTCATTCATACATCCATTCATTCATCCACAGATCGTAATTTTGTCCTGAATCAGAGAACGATCGATCTCTAATCCAGTACCCCCAGAGGTATTGATTTGTTATGGGAACATGGAGGACTTTTGCGACTCGACAGATTTAACGTGCATCAGTCACTTTACTACACGGGGAGTCTTCGGCCAGCGGGGCCACGAACTCTCGGAAATGGGCCCAGCGCCCTAGCAACCAGGCTACCCCGTCTGCCATTATTCAATACATTATATATGAGACAAAGTATGAAGTAAATCTCATGTCTTATAATTGCTATAAAATACCTGGCACTTCACAGAAATCTGAAATTCCATACACTGACGGTAACATATATTGTTATTGTCAATTTAACAATGTATTCGAAACTAAAGTTACTTAAGCCCATAGTTTCGTAAGTTTTGCGAAATTTAGGCTAGTAAAATAGAAAGTACTAGTGATAAGTTTTAAGATAGTTTTTGCCACAGATTTCATTTAAAATTTCAATGGCCAATACAGTAGAAACATTTTTTAAAAAAATGATTAAATATATATCAGTATTAATTTGCAGCAAAACTAACACCTTCTTCTCAAATTAACTTTGTCCTGCCAAGCGGTGAGTTATTCTCCCATGCGTACAACATTAAATTAATCTTTTATGATAAATAGCTTAAGGAACACAGATATTCTTTAGGCACCATTCCAGGATTTAATGCCAAATAATAAAATGCGATTCCAGTAGCAGTAAAATTAAATAGAACTAAAACTTTCACCACGCTCCTAGACAACTGCTTGGAGAAATTTTACTAAGTTTCTTAGCTAAATGGAGTAGAAAATAAGTTTTTAAAAAGACGAACTTATTTTAAATGCAAATACTTATTTTTAACATTTATTATTCTAAAATGCATTACAGCATTTTGTTTTTAAAAAAGGATATTTATACATTTTTGAAAATTATATTAAATAAGTTTGATAAAAAAATAGAATCCAAACATTGTTATAATTGTGAAAGAATGACAAGCCACATATTTTGTATTTGTTTAATGCTTGAAAGTATTTAGTCAAACGTGCATGTTAATCGTTATTACTTCTATGAGTGATTAAAAAATTATAACTAAGGCTTGAAAGCTAAACGATATTAAACTGGAAACTAAAACGAGAAATATTTCGCACCATCTTCATTTTTACAATTATTTTGTTCTCTATTTTGAAGTATTGTATTTTTTGTATTTTTTTTGCAAAGCGTTTCAGTAATATTTTCTTAATGTTTACTAAACTAAACTCAACTCAGTGGAGCGACAGCCCATGGAGGGCCAAGGCCTACTATGTCCATCTCAGTTTTCTTAACCTTGGGCTCTTGGTTGCAGGAGTAGATGTTCTGGTCAGGTGGTCAGCCGAACGCGGAACCCCCAGTGTATCACTTAATTATAAATGGCGAAATAATTTTTAATATTTCAAAACATTAACCTTAACTGCGAAAACTAAGGTTTTAGACTAGGGCAAATCACTATAACATTTAATTAATATTAACTACGACTTAATTCATAAATTTTCTTGGTTAAGTTCTCTCTAAAGATTACCGAACGACAAAAGTGATCTAGTTTTGTTCTCGTAATGCACTGAGGAATCATACACACGTGTTTCACGTTGATTTAATTTAATCTGCTTCAAACTGGACGAGAGAGCTTCGGCAGTATTAGGATCTCATTAAGGATGACATGCTTTGCTTAATGTCCTAAATAATGACCTACGTAACATTCACCTAATGAACTACTAAACATTGTGTTATTACTCAAATTATGTTGAAAGTTACGAAGGGAGACTGAATTACTTGAACAAATTAACACTTTAAGTTACTACTTTTTTTAATTTTTGGGTTCAGAAACACGTATAAATTTTTAAATATATGAAACAATATAGAAGCACAGTAGTTTAAAACTCAATATCAACAAACAATCCCTGCACTAGTTTCTTTACCTGCACTGTTAGAATTTCCATCCTAAGATTATGGTAAAATAACAGGTAGCAGTCTGCCCATTCAATTAACCATTAAGTTTACCGTAAACAACGTTTTTCAACCTTACGGTTTTGAAACCGCGTACAACTAGTATGTTTATAAAATCATGAATACAAAAGTATATGGCTTTCTTACCCATTCATTCACAACTAGCATGGTTTCAAAAACGTAAAAAAAATAATTCATTCTAGATTTTCCGTTAGATAATGGGCATTTGGAGCGTACACGGCAGAAATTGGGGAGTAAGGAAGCCTTATAACTTTTTATGTGTTGACGGGAATGGTGTCAACGCTGGTGTCAGCCCGGGGACTCAAACCCTCGTTCTTTCAGTCACGAGACGGTCAGATTAGCTATCTCGGGTAAAATATGTACCGAGCTGCAAATAACTAATTGGCTTCAGGTGGGCTTAGTTGGTGTGATAAAATTCTGGTGTCAGTTAATAAACGGTGTTTTTCACAGTGAACACTGTTAATTATGCTTTCTTTTAGTACATTGCTTATTTTTTTAAAATTCGTTTTGTACCTATTAATAAAAATAATTAAGCACAATTGGCATCAGTTATAGTATGGCAATTTTTTACGTTTCTACTTGTACCATTTCTCCATTAATTTGTCTTTCTTTTCAGTTTTATTTAATTTGGATACCCACAAGCGACGCCACGTGTGGGTCAGCCAATCAGGTTTGACGCCTCTTGCAGGCATCCAATTAAATCTGATCCAAAAACTGAGTCAGCGTGATAGTAAACCCAAGCGTAAAAGCTGTAATGCTAATTGGCCTTGCACAACCATGCAATTCGACACAACCAAGTGATTAGCTACAAGTACTTAATTACCGTTGATTTCAAATTATTTAGCTTTATAGAAACACATTTTAAAAGCATAAACTACAAACATAGCGAAATCATGGTTTTATATAACTTTAGGAATACTAAGATGTAGTACTCTCATCCTACTAAGTGCACATTGATCATTTAATTTACCTGACACAGCAAATACTAATTAATTATTAAAAAAGGAACAATTAACTCCTTTTTTAAATTGTGAGAGCTATAAGCAAGCTAACATCAATGATATTACCTTTGAAATATTTAAAAAACTGTCTAAAATTTTTATTTAAAACAATTAGACATCTCTATAGTTTTATTTAAGATAATGGCTAATTCTATACTTACCGGGAATTTTACTTTTCAAATGCTTTTCTCGAAATATTTAATGAGATTTTTAAGCAAATTTTAAGAGCAAAGGCTAAAATTACCCCTTTTACCCACTGTCCAAATTTAGGACGCCAGTGGTTCTAAAGTTAAATGGGACACACAAACACTTCATTTTATTAATATGAATAGTGAAAGTATCCCTTAAATGGACAGAAGTGTCCGCTTTATAGCTTAGCACGCCATTTTTAAAGTTGAAATCAGCAACATTACATATAAAAACAATTAATTAAATAGTGGAAAGTATCTGTTTTGTAGAATAACATTCCTGTTTTATAATTGTAAGGAACCTCTGTATAATAAAAAGTACTAATTTTATATGGAAAATTCAGTTACATAGTGATAAGTATAAGTTTTTATAATGGAAAATTTCCATTTTATAGTGGAAAGAAATCAATATATGTGACATTTTTCTTAAGTATACCCTATTTTTTATGTAAAAAATTTATTTTCATAGTGAATAAAGTTAACCATAATGGAATTTTTGGTTCAATTGAGTTATTGTGATGCCATTAGAGGCATCATATATTTCCTAGCTTTTAAAATTTCCTTTATTTAAAAATTTTGATTTTCTAATCATTCTTAATCTAATTTTGATTAAATTCACGAAGTTAATGTAGTAAAAGTTGTATACCTGATAGCAGTCTGGAATGTTTAAGGATTCCTTGCTCTCAGCCACATAACCGACAATACCCGTTCCCCACGGAATTCTAATCTCTTCTTTCTGTTGCATTTGTTCCATAGTTGAACTGCACGAAACATCGAAGAGTTGACTTATCAGATACCTAAGAAAAAGTCAAATCATAATTAAAAATATTTTTTGTTACATGTTAGAAACGATGAAGACTTAATGATTTCAAAACCGTTATCATAATTTTAAAATTTACTAATTATGTAATAAAATTATTTTAAAAGAAACCGAAATTTGAAAGTAAGTAATGTTCTAAAAAATCAATATACTGAAAAAATATATATCACGCAGATATTTTCCTTTTGTCTACTTAACTATGTGCGAATATTTCATCGGGTTTTGAAAGATCATGTTTAAAACTTTCTAAAAAGACGATATTTATTGTTCGTCGTATGACGACTAAGTTAAAGTAGTTAAAAGTCATCAATTTGTTTTATTAAAATAAATTCTTAAATTGTTTAAAAAAAGTTTTTTAATTTTAATTTTATTCCAGATATATAACAAAACAAAAAGTTTTTTTAACCAAGAAAAAGTTATTTTAGAATTTTTGTAATAGATCCATCCTGATTTTGTGAAAATTGACAAAGACCAAAGTTCTGTATATTTTTTTTAAACGTCAGGTTTTGTGAATCGGTGAAAAATCTCATTTTTGGAATTTAAAATTACTAGAAAATCGAATTTCTTCAAAGATAGTGATTTTGTGAAGATGAGAAAACTGATCCTGTTTTGATGAAAAAGCAAATTATGTCTCTCCTCAAGAAGTTGTAGTTTTAAAATTATAAAAGATGCTATCGACTCTGTCTTACGATAAAATTTTTATAATGGGTTCGCTTTCAAGATAAAACATTTATAAAGGGTTCCTTTTCCCGGTTTAATAATTTGTGAATTGTCTGTTTTAATATAAAATAATTAGTGAAGGCCTTAAGGTATAATATTTAGTAAAATTTAGCAAAACATTTTGGGAAGGATCTGTTAAAAAGGCCCCTGATAGACATTATAATTTTAAGAATAGTGCTAAAAGAATAAATGGTAATAAATGCATACGAAGTTAAACGCAGTTAACAAAGCTAAAAGTGGTCAACATTTATTTTAAATTAAAATTAATTTTAAAAATTTACTCATTTTCTAAATTTAAAATTGTTACAGAATCGAGTTTTTTTCAGCCAGGTCTCGGGGGAATACAAATTATGTGTCTCAAGAAAGTGTAGTTTTAAATTTATGGAAGATGCTATGCACTCCGCTTTTTAAAATCAAATTTTTCGAACGGGTTCGTTTTGAAGAAAAAACATTTTTAAAGGGTTCTTTTTCCCGATTAAATAATTTGTAAAGGGTCCGATTTTACGATAAAATAATTTGTGAAGAGTCCGCTTTTATAATAAAATAATTTGTGACGAGTCTATTTCTACACTAAAATAATTTGTGAAAGGTTCGTTTTTACGATAAAATAATTAAAGAAGGTTATGTGGTAAAATATTTTGTGAAAGGTCTGTTCTGATGACAAAATATTTCGTGAAGGGTCTGTTAAAATAGCCCCTGGTATATATTTTGATGATTCTATGAAGAATGAAAAAAAGAAAGAAAGAAAGTAAAAGAAAAGTATGGTGATCTTGAACTTTCTTTCTTTTCTTGAAGAACACTGTACGAATACTGTACGTACAGTGTTCTTCAAGAACACTGTACGAATAGAAAACAACTTACTGGTGCTGATCGCCTTTTTCACCTCTCACGAGGAACAAAGAACACCTATCGGCGTCGGTGAGGATGCTGACATTTTGTAGAATTTTGTGACATAAACTTCGTATTTCCAAATCATTGCAGATATCCTTCACTAGTTCGAATATCAGCTCGCGTTCGTCCAGAGCACGCAGTTCCTGGCGACTTTTCCTTCCTATTCTATTAGAAATCGGTGGACCTATATCTCCAGGAAGTGGAAGAGTTAAAAATGTTGGAATACCATCCACGGTTGTAGTCACGATGGGCCTAAAAAAAGGTAACAAAGAATGAGAATTGACAAGGAAAGGATAGAAAGGCAATATCGTTATTAAAAATATACAGAATTAAAAGTTTTCTAAAATATCTATAATAGTAACATGAAGAGCGTGCATGTTTTTCTCTCTCTTAACTCCAGAACGGTTTATTCTATTATCCTGAAATTTGGATAGAGGCTGGAAGTTTTGGTTTTGGAATTTTCAATTAAAACGTTTGGGAGAGCCGTTTGAGAGCCGCAAATTTTCAAAATCAATATTCAGATATTTTGACGATAACATCAGCGATGTTTGCTAACTTACTGCTCTACTTGATTAAAAATTATTTTTTGCTCGTACTTTAATATTAAATAATTTTTTGTTCACTCTATGTCAGATAAATACAATGATCAGCGCTAACGTATTACCTTGGGCGGACTACTCTAAATTCGTAATTCTTAAGTTATCTTAAAGTTTTCGTGCTTATATTTTCTTTCTTTGCTGTAAAGATTAAATAATAAAGTTTGAAGTAAAACCTATCCAGAACAACAAAAATTGGCGACCGACACATTGCCTTCCACTTCCCTCTGTCACTCAACTGAGAAGGTCCTACACATTAGAACATATAGTCACCCAATGACATTTAGTGCAAAATTAAACATTTAACATACGCCTAGCAGTATTTAGCTTAGTGACCAATTATTGCGACAAGTTTAATGATTTAATCTGGTGGCTTTTCTTACATCAATCATCCATTAAACTGTTCCATTTTAGCATTCCATTAAACTTCCATAGTCTTCCATTTTATGAATGAAATTCTAGTTGCTCTGCGCGTAAACACTTCAAAATTATATTCTTTTCATCAAACTGAGTTGAGTATTTTAAATTTTGTTAATTCGAATAAAAGTTATATTTAAGACACAAATAAAGTTCACTTTTAGTAATAATTATTACATTATTAATCTTTTTTTTATCAAAATTTTCTTAGATTTCTTTCTTTTCTTTTTTGCATTTTAAAGGCATTTTTTGAAAAACGTTGATTTTGAGAAAATCACTTCATTACTAACACACATTACGAAAATCGTTCATTATAGAATTCTTTGAAATTTTGTATGTTTTGTACAATAACAACGATGTTTCGAACTAAAAGCTAAGATCTAAACGTTAATTTGTTATTTTTATCAAGTCTTGAGTAACAATCATGGAATTTTTCTTTAAAAATTCATCATTAAACATTATAATTAGTTCTATATTTCCTTGTCCTTTTAAAAAAATTTAAGATTTTGCTTTAAAACACATTGTAGATCTAGAGAAAAAAAACATTTTGAAATTTATGCACCACAATTTGTTGTGGAGCTACTAGCGCTTAATTTTTTTTTTTTGATATTACTCGTTTTTAAGCTTAACTTTCTATAAAATTATTCATTTTGTGTAGGATGTAAAATTATTCATTGCTGTGTTCTTCGAAATTCAGAAGCACCACTTTCATAAAATTTAAATGCCACAATTTAAATGAAAAGAAAAGAGAATTATTTCTACTGACAGACTAACACATGTGAAAATCAATTTTTTACTTTATTTTTTAGTGAATATTACAACCGATGTAGTGTAATTTACCGTATTGCTAACTTACCCAATAAAATTTGTAATTTAAGATTCATTTTCATGCTAAAATCTGACAACCATCCAGCATGTGATAGATATTTTCATAAAAATATAAAAAAGCGTAAAAGAATGATATAAAATAACACATAAGCATTTTAAGTAGTAGTAATAGTAGTTCGCACTAGAGCTGCACAATCGGCTATTGGTGACGGTCTGGGAAACATCCCTGAGGATGATCCGAAGACATGCCATTACAATTTTGATCCTCTGCAGAGGGGATGGCACCCCCGCTTCCGTAGCCCGACGACCTGCATGCGAAGTCGAACCCTTTAGGGTAGAACAGTCTAACGAGGGCCAATACCGCACACCCTCGGTCCCTAAGCAGACTGATCCAAGTGGTCACCCACCCACACACTAACTGCAGCCAGTGATGATTGACTTTGGTTTTCTATAGAGAACCATGTCTTTACGATCAGTCCACTACGGGATTGATCAGTAATAGTACTTTATTAACGTACTTTATATGATAGTACTTTATTACAATAGTACTTAATTATATGCATTTTAAGACTGTCATATTACCTTAGTATTCCACTTCTCTCAAATTCATGAGCCGATATCTTGCGTACTGGTGTTGTAGCACCAGAACTAGATGTTGTTGGACTGGAAGCAGAAGAAGAATTTTCCTGAACTAAACCTTGCGGAGCTGAATGCGAAAGTAACCACGAATCAACCATTTGGCGAGAAGCTTTACGAACGAAATAGTCCTGGACGAAATGGGGATGCTCATCTAGCCAGGATTCCACTTTTTCAATTTCTGAAATGAATTTAAAAAAACTTTTTGAGGATATAAACTCTATTATTTTTCCCTGAGGTTGTTTTTCGAAGGCTCCATTGTAATATGAAACTATACTTTTTTGAAAATAATAAGTTTGCGACTGNTCCCATTTAACTTTAGAACCACTGGCGTCCTAAATTTGGACAGTGGGTAAAAGGGGTAATTTTAGCCTTTGCTCTTAAAATTCGCTTAAAAATTTCATTAAATATTTCGGGAAAAATATTTGAAAAGTAAAATTCCCGGTAAGTATAGAATTACCCATTATCTTAAATAAAACTATAGACATGTCTAATTGTTTTAAATAAAAATTTTAGACAGTTTTTTAAATATTTCAAAGGTAATATCATTGATGTTTGCTTGCTTATAGCTCTCACAATTTAAAAAAGGAGTTAAATGCTCCTTTTTTAATAATTAATTAGTATTTGCTGTGTCAAGTAAATTAAATGATCAATGTGAACTTAGTAGGATGAGCGTTCTACATCTTAGTATTCCTAAAGTTATATAAAACCATGATTTCACTATGTTTGTAGTTTATGCTTTTAAAATGTGTTACTATAAAGCTAAATAATTTGAAATCAACCGTAAGTAAGTACTTGTAGCTAATCACTTGGTTGTGTCGAATTGCATGGTTGTGCAAGGCCAATTAGCATTACAGCTTTTACGCTTGGGTTTACTATCACGCTGACTCAGTTTTTGGATCAGATTTAATTGGATGCCTGCAAGAGGCGTCAAACCTGATTGGCTGACCCACACGTGGCGTCGCTTGTGGGTATCCAAATTAAATAAAACTGAAAAGAAAGACAAATTAATGGAGAAATGGTACTAATTCGCTAAGTAGAAACGTAAAAAATTGCCATACTATAACTGATGCCAATTGTGCTTAATTATTTTTATTAATAGGTACAAAATGAATTTAAAAAAATAAGCAATGTACTAAAATAAAGCATAATTAACAGTGAAATGGTAGCAGTTTGTTTTGGCGGAGCGTAACAAATTGCTAAACTTTTATTTACTCCTAATTAAACTTGGTAATAGGCATGGTGTTAATAGTTGAAAAATATACTAATATACTAGAATGCCGTAAATTAAAAATTCAACAATACTGCATAGTTTTATTATTTATACTGTGGAAAGTGATTTTCACGGCATCTCGAAATTGATAAGCACCAGAAAAAATTGCTTGCTTGTTTTAAATCTTGACTATCATGAGTTGGATTCGAACAACAGCATCATGCCAAATAATACTATATATAGTTAATCTTTATTTTGAGAGGATATACTACTGAAAACACGTTTTGCTCAATGTGATAGCGTAAAACCACGAGGAGGAGCAACAGATAGTAATAAATAAATAAAATTGGAATTATTTTAGCTTTGTTAACTGTGTAAATATCTTTCAGGTTTGTGCATGATTTAGGTATTACTTAATACCGATTTATTAATTATTTACTTTTTACGAAGAACAGGAATTCAACTAACAGATTATAAAACCAATATGCTTTACGGTTACTTTCCAAATCGGTTATTCTCGAATATAAAATTAACACTTATTATTAAAAACAGGGTTGGGTTTTTGACGTC